AAATAATACTTAATAAGAAGGGTAAAATAGGTATAAACTAGTAAATTATCCATTGATTTTTCAAATTAGACAACTAAAAGTTAAAATTTATTTCTCAATGTTGCAAACAAATAAACTTGGACGGAGTGAGTATGTTGTAATGTGTTATAACATCAATATTATATACCTCTAAAATATAATAGTTTACCTATAAATATAATGCAAATTTTCGACGAAGGGTGGTCAGTTGACTACCCTTGAGACCATGTGGCTTCGCCACTGGTTGTAATTAAATTGAGTCACAACTCACAAGTCACGTGAGAGACGCATTTACTAGCTAATTAAATAAAGATAAAGAGACTAAAGACCCGTTTGGTTATAGATTTTGCCAAAATAAATTTGGGGTTTATTTGGCAACACATGTTTGGCCATAGATTTTGGCTATATTTTGGCAAAATCCCAAATCTCAAAACCAGCTCAACATCACTATTACATTTTTTAAAAATTGCCCTAAACTTTTGTATTTTATAAAAGAGCCCACCATTTATTTTGTAACAATGTTACTTCGTCTTCTCGGTCATCTGATAGTGTATCATGTAGTTCATTAAAAAATGATAATTTTGTACCAAATTTATTTATGTTCAGGACTATGGTTTGCGATAATATAATGAATGTTATTGATAATTGTACTGTTGGGTATTTTGTGATAATTTTTAGAACTTGTAGGTATAAGCCATGTTTTATGTTTTTCCAAAATAAATTTGGGAAATATGTTTTGAAAATTGATGTCCAAACACATTTTTATCTTCAAACTAAACTTCACCCACATCACATTTTTTAAAACAAATTTGGAAATCTATGCCAAACGCAAGCTAACAATTGTTTAGTGACTAAATATTGTAGAAAAAAGTTGAAAGAAAATTTTCAACGCCACAAACGATCTTGGAGGGAATAAATGGGGTGAGCTAAGTATACAAAATGCTAAAAGTCAAAAAATGACTGACAAGAGTTTGAAGTAAAATCATTTAGTGGAACACAAGTAGTAGTAGTAGTAGTAATAAAGGATACAAGAAAAATAGACAGAGAGTTGAAGACAAGTTTATGTTCATTACTCAACTGGCAGTGAAATTAAATGATTGCTATTTCGTAGTCAACTGGTACATCAATTCAGAGCTAGGTTTTACTTTTACAATGAGAAATGCCCACTGCCAGAAAACGCAGTAGTATTAATTAGTTACATTTGGCAGGTTCTGAACATGTTTTGACTTATTCAAATGGATCATTAAATCCCAAACGAGAAGAGAGCTACGAAATACAAACAAAATTTGCGTCAGAGAGTGCTCGAAAAACGTTGGACGTTTGAAAGCTTGGACCACTTGAATTTTTCCGATCAGAGAACTCGCTTCGGGATATCGACGAGAAAGATAAATCTAAACGAAAACATTGTTCAAAATCCAAAAAATATTTCATCATAATATACTGGAGTTCGAATTTTTACATGTGAATTTCCAGCATAATATACTGAAATTCCAGCATAATATGCTCTCTTTTTTCAGCATAATATACTGAAATTACATATACATTGTTGGAGTTACATAAAGATATAGCATTAATACAGCATTGGGCCATAGACCTATAGAGCAGATTTGGGTCAAAGTTAGCCCAATAATTGTATTTTTATTAGTCCGGTTAGGTTGATAGAATTAGACTATTTTGCCCCTTGTATATATATGTGCATATACTCTAGAACTTTCTTAATCAGATGAATGAAAGTTTAATCTTCTCTCTTTCTTCGTCTTCTCTATTCAAAGTGTAACCTGGATTCATCTCGTCAATTTCGTTCAATTACAATGTTAACATACATGTGCTCCAATCTCCACTATATTATGCTGGAACTTTCCGTGTTGTAGTAAAATATTAACTATTTTTCAATGACTCTTGATTATTTTTCAATTACTAGTCCACAAGCTGGCTAGCCCGCACTACTTTCACGAATAGTCCCATAAGGGGATGGTCATAGCCGAACGTCCTCAAGATTAGCGGTATTTAAAAAAAAGTCCCAAACTCGGAATACAACTAGTGCTCTTCCGTTTTCTTCACCAGATCAGTAAAATTTATGTAATATCTATTTGTTAAGGTCATCAAAATCTATCAGATTAACATAATTTTGCTCTTCATCGGATAAGTAGAATTTATATTATATTTAATCTACCTATCTGTAGACTGTTAATCAAATTTACCCGATTGATATAATTTTTCTGTGTTTTCTAACAAAGTACTTTTCGAATTTGCAACTTCAATTTTGATTAAACCACCCCAATTCCCCTCTAAATGATCTCAAATTTGAAACAAAGCTTGCATATAAAACATAAACAATTTAGTCAAATAACATCAAATCAAAGACGCACTTTCTCTTCTTCAATACTTTCTAAAATCCAACAATGAAGTTTAATTATTTTTACCTCCTATAGCAAAGGTTAACACCTTATTTATTTTAAATAAATACCATTTTAAAAAATTATATTCTATAGCTACCTTTTAATGGTTATAGCAAAATATATATTATTGGTTACTTCCTACCCTTAAGCCACTATATACACTATTTTTTTCTCACATAATTACCGTATTTGATGTAAACTTTTCACTCCACGTTCTATCTCTAGTTTGATACACGTCATTCTCTTCCCCTAATCAAAATCTCTCTCACCAACATCGCCCAGTTCTTCCCCATTCTCAGTCACCACGCTAATTTCATACACACCATCTGCATTATCTCTCTCAATTTTTGTTATTTTTTGCTACAAATAGTTGTGGTAAGTATTTAACTTGTTAGAATTTCGCTTGTATTCTGTTTATCTCTACTAACCATTATTATTGTATTCAACAGAAAACTTGAGATTTTCTATCCAATGTTTGATTCAACATCCCACAAAAGGGTTAAGAGAGGTATACCCACCAAAGTACTCAATTTTGATGGGCCCTCGTTCTCTTTGCAAATCACTCAAGCGAAATTGAAATTTGCAAGTTTAGCAGCAAAAATGGAGAAGAGAACAAAATTATACAATGACACTTTGAAACGAGCCCAAGTTGAGAAATCTTCTAAAGAATCAACACTTCTCATTGCGGAAAAGTGAAAAAACCCTATGGATGAAGCTTCACGTGTCAAGGGAAAGGAGGTTGCTGCGAGAAATAGTTCGGATACACAGGACGAAAAGGTATTTTTTTAATGTATTTGATTCCTCATACATTGATTATTACCTTCTCCAATGGTTTTTTTTTTATTATTGTATTTATATGTGCACAATAGTGATACACAGCTTCATCTTCTTATTTGTTGATTTGATTTATATGTATGTTGATGTATTCATGAGTATTCAAAATTTCCTTCACTATATTTATACTTATTACAATGACCTTTGTATATCGTATTTAGATGTATTCATAAGTATTCAAAAATGTCATCACTGATTTATACTTGTTACAATGACTTTTGTAATTGTATTGACTAACAGAAATATATTCTAAAAAAAATAACAACCACTTAACAAATTAGTAAATTACCATATTTTCCTGCAAGAAATAACACATGCAAAAGTCACTGTAACAAGTATAAATCAGTGATGAAATTTTTGAATACTTATGAATATATCTAAATACGATATGCAAAGGTCATTGTAATAAGTATAAATATAGTGAAGGAAATTTTGAATACTCATGAATACATCAACATACATATATATCATATCAACAAATAAGAAGAGGAAGCTATGTATCAACTATTGCGCACATATAAATACAATAACATACAATAATAATAAAAAACCATTGGAGGTAATAATCAATGTATGAGGAATCAAATACATATTGATACATCAAAAATTACCTTTTCGTCTCGTATATCCGAGCTATTTCTTGCAGCGACCTCCTTCCCCTTGACACGTGAAGCTTCATACATAGGATTTTTTGTCTTTTCCATAAGAGGGAGTGTTGATTCTTTAGAAGATTTCTCAACTTGGACTTGTTTCAATGTGTCATTGTGTAATTTTGTTCTCTTCTCTGCAGCTGTTTTTGCTGTTGAACCTGCAAATTCCAATTCTGCTCGAGTGATTTGCAAAGAGAAAGATGGCCCATCAAAATTGAGTACTTTGGTGGGTATACCTCTGGTAACCCTCTTGTGGGATGTTGAATCAGACATCCAAGAGAAAATCTCAAGTTTTCTGTTGAATACAATAACAATGGTTAGTAGAGATAAATTGAAAAAACAAAATACAAGTTTAAGTTAAATACTTACCACAACTATTTGTAGCAAAAAATAACGAAAGTTGAGAGAGACAATGTAGATGGCATGTATGAAATTGGCGTGGTGACTGAGAATGGGGAAGAACTGGGCGATGTGGGTGAGAGAGATTTTGAGTTCTAGAATCGTGTTTTCTATGAATAGGGGAAGAGAATGGCGTGTATCAAATTAGAGAGATATAGAACGTGGAGTGAGAAGTTTACATCAAATACGATAATTATGTAAGAGAGAAATAAAAAATAGCGTATATAGTGATTTAAGGGTAAGAGGTAACCAAAAATAAATATTTGCTATAAACATTAAAAGGTAGCTATAGAATATAATTTTTTAAAATGGTATTTATTTAAAATAAATAAGGCGTTAATTTTTGCTATAGGAGGTAAAAATTCCTTTAGTAAATGGTATCTATAAATAACTAATAACCTCTAAACAATAGTGCTTTGTGAAAATTTCTCTATTTTTTTTAGGCAAAATACAATAGCCTACAAACCACACAAAAGATATAAACCGCACTAGACAAGCCCTATGCGACAGGTCCAGGCTCAAAAGGCATTGAGGGTGAATCAATCCTAGGACATCACTATGGATAACATTGGCTTGTTTGTGCTTGTTCTGGTCTTAACATTCATGTCTCCGCTGCTTTGTTTTCCTTATTATTAGTATTTTACATTTTCTGTATAACACAAGAAACTAACATCTTCTAGCCCACGTTGGTACCAACAAATCAGGCAGATAAACCATACTCAATAAGATAGTTAGATAAAGTACATTGCCTAATGTACCCAAACTGATCCAACTTTTAAAAAAAAAATTAAAGAAATAGCAACATTATACCTTTACGACAACTATTTATGAGATTGTTTCTTTGAATTAGGTGTAATGGACTGCTTCAATTTTCTAAAATACAGACACATACACAAAAGATCAACCCAATAGTGACGCTTGCTCATAAACTGCACAGTACTTCCAAGTTCGCAACAATTCCCAGCTGTTTGCAACAATTCCCAGCTGTTTCTTCGTCCAGATTTTGTCCTTCCCAAGTTCCATAAGGTAGTTTTACCTTTTCTTGTTGATAACAAGTAAGGTTTAACAACAAATTATCAAAGAATGTGGGACTGTGCAAAACATGCAGAAGCGGACAACTTTTTACTTTTATATAACCTTTGAGCATTTCTTTCATGTACGACAAGTACTATCATATACACTTGGGTATCAGCTATCAGTTCCTTAACATTTACGTTCTCTCTGAGCAATCTGATGCAGAGAAGACTAGACATTATATTTCCGCCTTCAGATGTATTTTCTTCATTTAAATTAAAAGGGATAGAGCATATCTCTAAACTCTCTGCAAATACCACAATTTCTTTACCTCCTATAAACAGCTAATTTATAAACACGAAAGCATAATAACCCCGCTCTCCAGCCGCTCACCCAATTTAAGATGGCTCAGCCACGTGGAGAAAATTGGACGTGAGGATTCAAGTCAGTGCAACGAAGACCCAACCAATAGAAATAAAACTAATTTCAAGCTGAGATGCAACTACACTGATTCATCAATTTTCAACATTCAGCTCCATTATCTCATAGTAATAAATGAAGAAATTCACAACTAAAGCATCTCGCTGAATCTAGACCAAACATAAAACGCCCAACTAAAGCACTCTGCTAAGTATCTCTAAACTCACTATAACTATAAGAGAGAGAGAGAGAGAGAGAGAGAGAGAGAGAGAGAGAATATAGACTAACAAAAAACTAAGTTCATCAGTTAAATTTTCAAAGTGAAGGGAACTCTACCAGTGCCAAAGGAGTTATTAACCAGAACGAGAGAAGCTCAACCCATTGACATAGCTTTGGACCATTATCTGGCATGCCCATTCCAGCAGCTATATCAGCATCAAGTTATGTGTGTGGTGCACGGCCATCATTATTTTCACACTGCATCAAGAAAGCTGCTCAGGCAAGTATACAAGATTATGTACTTTACAGACTACAAACCATAGTCTATGAAAATCATGGGTTCACAATTCATTAGTCGCAATTTGTTTGCTTGACCATCTAAGCTTCGAATTGATACCACTAGCTCAGACTAGAGTATTCTTATTTCTTTACAGCCAAAGTAAATGACCTTATAGTTGTGCTCTTTATAACATAAAATGTAAGTGTCAAATTTAGCATTCATAATATGTATGTTTGTTTGACATTTATGATTTTGGCATGTTCCTGAGAAACAAAAACCTTTACTTCACCATGTGGTATGTGCTAAATTATCGAAGAAACCAAACCCCGACTTAGCCAACCAAAAGGAAACAGAGAAATTGGAAGACCCAACTTAGCCAACCAAAGGAAACAGAGAAATTCGGAGAAGAAGCAACATGATTGTCTAAAATGCCCTAAAATGAAACAACAAAATGTTGTAAAATTACAAATAGAAACAGCTGCTCAATGAGTTTCAAGTATTTCAAGAAGGAAGTTCAAGACTTCCACATTATCTACCACCAGTATCTCTTTTCACCATGCACTGGCCAAAAGGTAATCTATTCCGTCGCCCTATCCTTGGAAGCGTGTATGACTGCAGATGCCATATAAAGATATGACCTCTATTATCATTGGCAGTCCCCAGAAGTCAAAACCAACAGGCTAGAATAAAAAGGCAACTCGCAAAGAAATCAAAGCAAACACTTCTGTCAAATTCAGTACAGAAAATTATTCCATAATGCAAATAGAAGAAAACGATTATTCTTCTTTTGGCATTAGTAAAATACAGTTAATCCTCTAGACAACCCAGCTACTACCACTTGTTGGCAAATATTGTGATTTGATAGCAAATTATCCGGTATGAAATATTGTGCATTTGCACAATTACAAGCAGATGAGACAGCCTTCACTTTAGATGACTCTAAAAGCACATCTACTATGGTCCAGGACTCCTACTAAAACATCATGGTCCTTGGAATTTAGATCATTAGATATGTCTGTCCAGAAGATCTAATGGCACAAATTCCAAGGATCATGATGGTCCAAAACCGTATACTTTTGGATTCTTTTGAGCTTGTTTAGCTATTAGGACTGGATTCAGGCGTCGTAAGCAGCTGGCACGCATAGACCAATCCAACAAGTGTTCTTTTAGATGCAATTTCATTAATATACTATTTAATTGAGAAAACTACTCATATTCTATTTGCACTTAAAACATAGAGAGCTCTTGGAAGTGCTAGGCAACAAGATTCTACCACTTTTTGATAACAAGTAAGGTTTAACAACAAATTATCAAAGAATGTGGAACTGTGCAAAACATGCAGAAGCGGACAACTTTTTACTTTTATATAACCTTTGAGCATTTTTTCCACGTACTACAAGTATATCATATACACTTTTGTATCAGCTATCAGTTCCTTAACATTTACGTTCTCTCTGAGCAATCTGATGCAGAAAAGACTATAGACATTATATTTCCGCCTTCAGATGTATTTTCTTCATTTAAATTAAAAGGGATAGAGCATATCTCTAAACTCTCTGCAAAGACAACAATTACTTTACCTCCTACAAACAGCTAGTTTATAAACATGAAAGCATAATAACTCCGCTGTCCAGCCGCTCACCCAATTTAAGATGGCTCAGCCATGCGGAGAAAATTGGACGTGAGGATTCAAGTCAGTGCAATGAAGACCCAACCAATAGCAATAAAGCTAATTTCAAGCTGAGATGAAACTACACTGATTCATCAATTTTCAACATTCAACTCCATTATCTCATAGTAATAAATGAAGAAATTCACAACTCCTATCCTTCACTTAACTTCAATTTATTCACAAAAATTCATCAGATAATAAATCAATAGTCAATAACTACTCCCCGCGCACAAAATTTAATTTATATATTATTATAATATTATCCTAAATTGCCAAGTGACTTTATAGTAGTTTT